TCATTTCCACTAGCATGCCAAGTTGCAGAGTGCTTAAAACAGCAGCAAAATGTAAAGATATTACTTTTACTACTGAGACTCCTTAGAATGAACGCTGCTACAGCATTTCCATGTCATGTAGAGGTATTGGCAGCTTACTAACAGCCAGTAATTTATGTGATAATGGCCTACTTAGCTGGTTAAAGGGAAATCAAATGATAACACTAATCTGCTGATACAGATAAATAACCAGATAAACAGTCTTGACATCAGAAATACTGAAGTTACCAGCTGTGTTTTATTTATAGAAAATGGTGAAACTGGACACTTTTGAACTAGAGACAAGGAGTTAAATTCTAATCTTAGTACATTACAATTTTAATCAAGTGAATTTGCACGTCCTCGGGATAATCCAGGCCTGGCTGATGACATGCAGTGCTCTCAAATGCTTCAGGAAGCTATTCATGCCTCAAAATTCAAAATTAGCATTTTCATTTCAGTCACTTCACTGTGCAGCAACTTTGCAACTGAATGTGTCAGTCAGTATTGAGAACCATCAAATCTTAAGTTAATTTAAGTTATTGAAATCATAAAATGTCTTCAAATCCTGACGATGAGGAAAATAATCAGTCTTGTGAATCCACTGATGAAATGGGTTATCTAAAGACTACAGGTTACGACCTGCCGTGACTGTATTATCTGACGGCCATTTTATGGCCACTTAAACTCCTTTTAGCTTCATCTCAGGGAAGGATATGTATGTTGAAACCCTTACATAATAGCTAAGATAACTGGGTCCCCCACATAGTGGTATTTATATCACAGTTTGTCTCATTAAACTTAATATATACTACAACATTATCAAATGAATGTATGTCCTTAAAGTATTTTATGAAAATGGAAATTTTAGAGATGATTAAAATTCTCATTTAGCCACTTTCATCAGTTGATAGTAATCACAAAGCGAAAACAGGCCTTCCTTCTACAATATGGAAATGACTCTTTCACTTGGCCAATACCTCCCTCTGCTGAGTAAATAAGAGTAGGCCAAGATGTGTGAACTCTGTTGCTGGTAATGTCCTGTTATTAAAATCACTGGCTTAAAAGAGCTGCAGTCTAAATGAACCTAAACTGGGTCATGCGAGTTGTGGTAACTGTCCCTGTGTGTCCTTGCAGTATTTCCCAGTTCAGTTCAACAAGGGAGAGCACGGCTTTGACAACCAAGAGATGGACATGAAGCCTTTCTTCAGGGCAGTGGGTCCGGCGTTTCACAAGAATCTGAAAGTGGGACCTTTTGAGACAGTAAACATCTACCCCTTGATGTGTCACATCCTGGGCATCCAGCCGGAGGTCAACGACGGCCACCTGAATGCCACCAAACACATGCTGGTTACTAGCACTACAACTCAGGGTGAGTTTATATCAGACTAATGAGCCTCTCCCCGTGGCCTCGAAAGTGTGTCATTCCAACACCTGCTCCTTCATTACTGGGCCATTCATCCATCATTTCCGACTTCACATATGTCCAAATCAGATGTAGAGGTACTGTAGGTTAAAACTAGAAAGTACATCTGGCATTGCTCACAGTAAGTTCCAAAAAGAATATGTAAAAATGTGATGCCAAGTGTCTGCTGTTAAACAGTTACAACAGGGACAATGTTAGCAATATTCTATATTTGTGAATAAATCGTGCGATGTGTTTATCCTCTCTCAATGTTTTCTGACTTCCCTACTGAGTACATCAGACTAAGCTCTCTGGTTCCTACTGAAGCCATAAAGTAAATCTTTAAAAATGGGTCACTAATATATGTCTGTGAAGATTCATCCAGGTCATGGTATTTCTAAGTGCTGAATGTAAGGAACTGAAGTTGCATAAGGTTCTTGAAGACGTTTTATTCGAAAGGCTTCATCAGTTCTGAACTGAAGGAAAGGTCACTAATATACTCTTTTTAAAGGCTTTGTAAAAGTCTGTGCACTGTAGTTACAGTTACAGTTACAGCTAACTTTACTCAATCAGGGAATATATAAAGCATTTCATATAATGATTATCTGGAGCAGAATCAAGTCAAAAATAAACTACAGAGTGTGTGGTAATAAAGGAACATGTCAGAAAGTGGAAGTGTGGCTCACTGATGTGTGTTTAATAGTTTTTGGACAATAATGAAGCTCTATGGCTCAGAGGAATAAGATATATCAGGCTTTGATACACTTTATCACTTTGTCAATTTATTAGTAAAATCAATTGATGATTTGTGTGTGATTTTACTCACACAGCTCATAATTTTGCAAAATGTTGTCTGGTGAGTTTTAGATTTTACATCTGGCGTGGTCATTTAATTTGCTAGTAGGGGCAACATAATCTGACCTTAAGACTGTTGAACTGCAACTCAAGTTTAAAGCAACCAAACACATTTACGTAAGTATGGAAGTATAACATTTAGGCACTTGTACTTAATTTGAGTGTTTCCATTTTAACCTACTCATACTAAAGGCTCCTTGTTTTTGTTTTATTCCAGATTTTCACCCAAAAATATTGTCTACTTAAATTTTTTGTTTGGCTTTTAAGAAGGCACATTAATTTGGACTGACTTTCATTTGAATTTGTCCTGAAACTAAAAGTTGTTGTGTTTCCTGTTGTAAGACACAGATGACACTGATCACAGCAGTTTTCAGTAAACAAGCTCCTCTTGTGGTGAGCAAAGCTCACAACGTACAGAAGACCTTTGTGCCTGAGTGACACAAAGAAGCTATTGGACAAAATGTAAAAGTAATTGTTATAGCGCCATCATGTGGTTAGTTGATGCAGTTTAGTACTTGAGTAAAGGCAGTACTGGTTGCTTTAGAACAGGTATTTTAAGGGAGGAAGTAGAGGAATAAGATCACAATGAAGCAAATGGGGTAAAATAACTGTGGTTCTTTAAAAATACTCACACAAAATTCCAGCGGTCTGCAAAATCAGTGTAGAAATATCAGCATCAACTTTCCAAAAGCATAAACTTAAAATTTGAATGTGTTCTGTTTTTCATGTCAAGATGTCCTGCAAAAAGTCTTCACGGGACTAGCTGCAGTGGCTGGATTTCTTGTTTTAGTTTTTATAGTGATGACAACCTACACAACACTCAAGAAGAAACCGAAGAATAAAAGGTAATAACACAGTAATTAAAACAATTATTACATGCCATTTCTGTTTGTCCCCTGTAAGTATAGGCAACAAAGGTAAAATTCAGTAATTCACAAATAAGACTATTTTCAATATTGATATAAAGGTCACAATATGACAATTGTATCTTTCTGTTTTCAGATCAGGAAGTTTGAAAGATCCTCAAGAGACAGAAAATACAAAACAAACTTCATTTTGATCACCACACAAAAACATAATTCTTCAGTGTGAGACTAGGAAACAGCTGCCTGTGGACAGTCTCTCTGGGTGATTCTATCTCATCCTATATGAGGATATGGATTTTATATGGATCACACAAAGAACCAAAAAGCAGAGGTGTGCGTAACCATTTTACAAATTATTATTTTTGGTTCAAAGTGGAAAATGAACAGAACTGGGTGAAGAGTGAATGAATTCATCAGCCTACTTTGAGTTTATTTTGTTTAGTATTTCGTTAAATCTAATTCTCTAATGCAAAGTGAGTGAAGTATAAAATGTAAAGTAAAAGTAAATTATAAAATGTATATTACTGTCTGTTTCACAACATGTTGTAATTGAATGTCTGAATGAATAAACTTCATTTACCTAAACCTAATTTACGTAAGGCTATGAGGTTGTCTTAAAGAGCCTTGATTAAGAGCACCTGAGGCCACAAATTAGGATTAACTATTTAACTAGGCCTATTAATTGTTTTGAAAAACACAAAAAAGTTAAAATAAAAAAGCACCATGTAGAGAAAAGTGATTAATCGAATATGCAAGTCGAAAAAAGTGTGTTTTAAGATCTGATTTGAGAACAAAGCAGTAATTACTTTATAATGAATATGTCTCTACTTTCACTTACAATATGTGAACATCATACGACGGTGCCTGCCATGGGACATAATTCAGCAACCACATTCTCAGTTACCCGCCTCTCTTCGCGTAATGGTGTCAAGCTACGCACGGTAGCACTGGAATTCCGGTTAGGATTTTCAAAATAAAACTATACTTGAAGTCTTGCACACTAGTGTAATATTTTTTCCATTAAATTGAAAATATACGTTAACACAGATACCAGAATTACACTGTTTGTACAAGAGGATGCCATTTTTTCTAATGCATGTTTTTGCAGAAACGTTGATTAAGTTTTAATTTTACACAAAGAAGATAATGCAGTAATACAAAACATGTATTCAGCATGTATGCTTCCATTTGCTTTCATTAGATGATTGTGTTAATTAATTTTAATTAATCAGTTATCCATTTTGAATATTTAAATGATTTCCAATTCACATCACTTCTATCCAATTTAAATATCACTTTAATTAACTTACTTACTAATGTCTACATTACAAAATTTAACCTATATAATCAATCGTTATACTGGCTACATTGCTCACTAATAAAGCCAATACCAACTGACATTGCTGGACTTGCCTGAGCTTATTCCACCAACTGCAACATGCAATATTTTATGTATGATAGTTATATTGTATAAACCAGTTTTATAAGAGACATATAGTTCTATTTTAGTGTGCATTGTTAGCATCTGGTAAAAGACAACAGATGGCAAATTAGCATTCTGGCTGATTTACATTACACTGACAATTGAGCACCATCATTAACAAACAAATGAATTATACAATTTACATACATTATTACTTTAGATTAGATTTTTAAAAATCCAGGTATTGCCTCTTCAGACCTGTTTAGTTATATTTCCACTACGGCAATTTTCCACCCAGTATTATCAGTGCTTTAACTGACAATACCTTTATTTTGAAGGCACGACTCTACACACCCGGCCCTGTCGGAGTGTAACTGTGATTAACTTGGCGCAGCTCTTGTCTTTTGATAAAGGATTCTTATTCGGGGTGAAGGCAGACATGGAGGAACTGAGCGCCGTGGGAGAGCAGGTTTTTGATGCCGAATGCATTTTAAACAAACGACTGAGAAAGGTTAGAGCTGTAAAACGTCTCAACATATATCCGCGTTTTTATTTTTCTGGCGGGTGTTTACAAAGGTTCTTCCTCTCTTGGTTTATCTTTCAGGGAAAGTTGGAGTTTCTTGTGAAGTGGAGGGGATGGTCATCCAAGTAAGTACAAGTGGAGCTGCTCAGCACGAAACAATGAAAACAACAACAACGTGTCGCTTGTTGCTTTTGGCGAAACTGTTGAAGCTAAACCGTTCGTTTTTTTCTCAAAGGTCCGAGTCCAAAATACAACAACGACGGGGTGTTGTTCGTTTGCGTTTCTTATGGCAGTTTCTCCAAATACAGCTCACAAATTCTGCCTTTACAATGGCTTTCTTTTGTTCATAACAACTCAAATTTGGGAATTTAGCGGAAAGCAAGAGAAAATACTTTTTAAACTACATCAATTTTGTCTTTCTGGATTTCCGTTCCTCTATTTGTTTGAAGATAATGGCGGTTTTTAACTAATTTAATTGCTGACTGAAAACAAGTTTTTTTGTGTGTGTGGCTCGGACACGACAATCAAAGCACTCAGATTTCCAAGAACTGTTTTATATTTGATTTATAGCCACTTAATACCCTGATATATTCGTTACATAACTCATAATTCAAAAGTGATTTTGAATTATGAGTTATTTTTACACTGCATTAGTGTCGCTGCTGGTTAGGCTCCACTCTGACTTCATTTCTTGTCATTTGCCCTTTCTGTTCACTCCACATTGTTGCTGTAATCCACCATCAATGCACACGGTTGCCTGCCAGCTCCATGGCTTTCTGTTAGAACCACATCCTTTGTGTATGTGTGTGTGTGCGTGTGTGTGTGTGTGTGTGTAGGGAAAGGGTGGGGGTCGATTATTTCACTGGTGACTGCTGATCAGAATGGGCCATTCAACAACAAGTGATGAGGAGAGAGGTCATTACATATGCATGTAGCTCAGATCACTTAAAGAAAAAACACAATGACCTTTTCAGGTCTGTTTCTGCAACAAATCTGACTCAAGTAATTCAGTGAAAACAGCACCGGGCCATGTCAATGCTGTCATACAGATGCAGCAGAGAAACACCTGCAAAACAAAGTTGTTTTTGCCATCTAAATGACACTCTGTGCTGTGCCAGCACAACCACAACAAACCTCTTATTCTCACGACTTCCCATAAATGTCACAGCACTTCCATGATCTAAAAATGGTCTTCCTTCCTGGGTTGTTAGTGTTTTTCTACAGAGATGGGCAGTTGGGGTTTCACCATAGCTGAGCTCATTGTGGAACAAAAAATAACTAAAATCTGATCTGGCAGCTGTGGCAAACAAGTTGGGAAGTACCTTATGTGGTTTTCAGTGAAATAGCCAAACTTTCCCAAAAATCCTCACACACATGTATCTCTCCAACTTATCTTTCACCTCTGCACACCTGGCCAGTTGCTGCGTAAACCAGATGTGATTGTCAGATTGTCTTTTTCAGAATAGTAAAGATGCAGCTCTATGAAATACACCGTTAAATGAACTACCATTTTCAACTTACTTATTAAGATATAGTTTATAAGTGATATAGCTATTACACAGATCTCTGTGTCTGAAATGCTCTTTGAGTGCTGCACTGCACCATCTATTTCTCTGTGTAACACAAAGCAGACCTAAATGATAGTTTTCATTTTATTTCTGTTAAGGACTATATTTTAGTTCTTGCCCTGTTGTCAGCTATCTTAAAAGGTCTTTCTCAGCCAATCCTTCTGTAATTTGTCTCACAGTATAACTCACAGTTTGCCTGTAGTAAGTTCATGGCTGCTGGAACAACAGAGTCCTCTGTTACTGCTCACTGCTGAGGCTGGAGGGTACATTTAATCTCACGGGGGCCACATTGCTTCTTTATTTTGACTAACACCACGATGTGTAACACTCCTTATGTCAATTTATTTCAGACACAACAGCTGGGAGCCCCAAGAAAACATCCTTGACCCAAGACTGTTGGCTGCATTCAACAAGAAGTGAGTGTCCTTGTTGAGCATTAACACACCAATCGGTGGTCAATTTGTTACAGTTAAAAGTTGTTTTGTAAGAAACAAACACACATTAAGTGATATGCTTTTGATTGATTTGCACAATTGTGTGCAAACCATAACTTTTCCCCCGTGTTCATAGATTTGTTGCATTTTTAGCCATTCTAACCAATCCTAGTGATAACCAAAATAGTATATATTGATGTACAGTATATTGTAGTTTTTATCAATTTTATTAAATTTGTTGGTTGTATTAACACTGATTTTTTTTTACATTACAAACGTGGAGCTTCAACATTAGTTGATGAATATTCATTAATACCACATTAAGCATTTGTTGAAATTTGTTTTTCTTTATAGAGAGCAAGAAAGGGAGCTCCTGCTGCGTAAGAGAGGGAAAAGGCCAAGAGGACGGCCACGGAAAATCCTTGTAAGTACATTCTAAAGCAGACCGCCATTCTTTGAGGGTTTAGTACACAATATCTAATGTTTGCTCTTTTATTTAGGAAAATGTGCCTGAAGCTCCAAAATCAAGCAGCTCTTCATCTGGCTCATCATCGTCATCGTCCGATTCCTCATCCTCATGCTCCTCCTCTTCATCCTCATCAGATGACGATGACGAAGACAGCAGCGTTAAGCAGGCAACCCCAAGTGTCAGAACACGAGACCTTCATCCCGTCCCTCAGAAGAAAGCACAGATTGTCGTTGCAAAACAGGAGCCCCCAAAGAAACGAAGCAGGAAACCTCTGCCCCCTGAAGTGAAGGAATTTCAGCAGAACAAGAGCCCTCGTAAAATCCTGAAGACGTCTAAAGATACAGATCTTCCAGGAGCCATCAAAAAGCCTGTTCATCCAGCAAGCTTCACCTTCATGGGTTTCCATCGGGGCTCTGCTAGGGATACAGTGGGTAGTCAGAACCGGAGTTCTCTGGCCCAGGGAGGGGCTGTTAAAAACTCCATGAGCTCTGTGGGATCTGGCAGGTCAGTCCAGCCTGCCTCCCTCTCTCTGAACAAATCCAGCCAGAGCAGGAATGTCACTGAGGGTAAACTGTCCATCTCCAGTATGAGCAGTGGGACAAGTCTGGATTTGAAAGCAGCTGCTGGTAAATCAAAAGGGGTAGCAGCGTTGAATTTGAATACATCCAAACACCCCATTCAAGGAACCACTCAGCATACACTAAGCTCCCCCAATGGACAAAAGAAACCCCAGGGCCCTGTGTCAACACTGCAGCGGATACCCAATACCAAAGCGGTGGCTTCTGTACCATCTAAGAACGCCTCTTCCAATCAAGGTTCAGGCCTTCAGCCTCTCAACCTTCAGAGCAAACCAATGCAAAGCAATGATGCTCCTGGAAATGGCACTACCCCAGTGTCAGGTGTGAGAAATGCAACAAACCCAGCAAGGAAAACTACTGTCACACAAAATCAGGAATATAATCCTAAGAGTCCAGCAACCCCTGGAAGACTGCAAGCCAGAAAGAACCAGCCTGGAGCAGACAAAGTCAAGGAGGCAAATGAAATCCAGACCTCTAGAGTCCAAGGCAGGCTGGAGAAGAACAGTGTGCATAAATCCTCCACGGAGGTCCAGAGCCAACAAGAGAGATCGGCCTACAAAGATGGCAAGAAAGCCAAAATGAACGACATGAGCACAGGTGAAGAGGAGAGCAGCTCAGACTCCGACCAGGATTCCTCCTACACCGGCCAGGATCGCTCAGTGGCAGTCCAGAACCAGGACTGGAAGCCCACGCGTAGTCTGATAGAGCATGTGTTTGTAACAGATGTCACTGCTAATCTAGTCACTGTCACAGTCAAGGAGTCTCCAACCAGTGTTGGGTTCTTCAGCATTCGTAACTACTGACAAGGATTCAACACACTGCAAACCAGATGGACTTTGGATCAAAGAGGCAGGATTGGGGTTCTGAAGGAACTAGATAAAACCTTTCGCTGGAGAATTCCTGAGGAACACATTGTGGAATGGAAGTCAATTTGCTCTTCATTTTCTTTTAGCAAAAGACTAATTTTTACGTTAAAAAAAAGGACATCAGTTATCGATTGTGATTATTTATTTGCTCGTGTCTATAAATTGTTCAGGAAATGACAGTCTGATAATCTCAAATCTCAAGTCTTTTTAGCCTCAGAGATCCCAACACAGCATTGTTACCAGGGTCCTGGGGAAAAATAACTTTCTCATATTCATCTTTTAAATATCAAGCTAAAACTCTGTTGCCCATTGTTGCTGAATCTGTGCAAAATATTAGCATTCATAGTGATCTCTTGTGTGTTTCCATCTGCTGTGTTATAACATACAGCTAAGCAGATGAGAGGAATGACTTAATGAAGAAATTATGAAAGGTAGGCATGAGCAGGAGGGCTAGCTTCTTTTGAGGATGGCGGACATTTAGTTCATAATATGTCATTATGTGTTGTGAATCCATATCAATAGTTAATGTAAACCAGTTTTTAATTCCTAGTATAGTATTGTTTTTTAATGTTTCATAAATTAGCTACCTCTGTTTTTTTTCAGCATTTGCTGCAAATGTATATTCTTTTCTTATGGGACAGGAAAACCTTTCCCTCCAGGGTATACCATCATTGTGTCCATATTATGTCCATATAATTGTTTTTATATAGCTCTAATGTATTGAGTTTTCATGCTGTATAGACATGTGTTAGTACCAGCAACCAGCCCAAGCTGCAGCTTTCAAACAACAGCTTTGTTTCTATGTTAGGAAAAACTCCCATCAGAACTGGACCTGCGTTCCACGCGGTGTTGAACTGTGCACACCTTTATCGCCTCAAAAAGGAGCTTCATTCCACAGTGCAGCCAGTTTATCTGCGCAGTTTTCCAAATGGGCTGAAGCATGTGGGGAGTCAGATACAGTATCTCTGTTCCTCCCTGGTGCTCAGATAAGACTCAGTTCTGGCTGAGGTTTGCTCTTCTGCCTTTGCATCAGTTCTGTCCTTCAATGAGGTATTCACCAGCAACTTTAATCTTCTCAGACTTGTAATTAATACTGACAAAGGCCAGAGAATAAGTGCTTGTGTTGACATGGCTGGATGATCATGGACAGTACACCTGACAAAGCTTCTCCCTCAATCTGTCAAAGCCTCCCATGAGCCTCTGAGATTGCTTAAGGCAACTGCTTTCAAAGTGGGGAATGGGAAAAGGTTTGGGGGTGGACAATGCTTGACAATAAACTGTTCAGCATTGTTTGTCCCAGACCACAAAATGCCAGATTTCATTGTGTCTGTTGCTACTGGTGTTTCAAAATCTCTAGTACTGAAATACCACATTTGATTTGGTTGTCTTTTTTGTTTTTCTGTTTTGTTTTTACTTTACATGCAGCTGCAGACGTCTCATTTCACCCGCCTGCATGGGTTCAGGAGCTGCAGGCCCAGCCTCCCAGAGAAAAAAGGTCTTTATCTGATGTAACGGAAAAGAAACCACAACAATGTGCGCTACTTTCTGCTCCCTTGAGAGGAGTTCAGCAACAAAGCACTTCGACTGAACTCTTCTGTCTAATCCTGCTTTGCAGACTGTGCCTTTCTTTCTCTCAAAGACTAAACACAAAGGCATTACCCCAAAGATAGCTAGAATTTCAGGTTATTCAATAAAAGCGTACCCCTCGAGCACAGCATGGGGACTGTACCTTTTTTTTGTCCATATTGTTGTGAAACAGCAAGGAGACCTTGCTGGAAGACTTATCACACATGTATGGAACAGACAAATATTTGATGCCTTATTGAAACAATGAGAGTGGTTTAGGCTCAACTTATAGAAGTACTTTCCATTCAGGATCATCTGAAAAATACTGAGTGCTTTCTCATATTACATGTGTTACAGGTGAAAAATGTTAGTGCGCAGCTTTTGGTTTCTTCTTGTCAGTATAGTTTTTAAGTCAAAGAAATGCATAAGGCAGTAGATAAAGATTAGTCTAGGCTCAATCAATGTCACTTATCACTACCATGTAATAGGCTATGGGGTAACGCAAGGTGTTTGTATGAATTTTTTTTTTTTTTTTTTTTATATATATAAATGGTATCTGCTTTTCTTAATCGATGAAAAGAAAGAACTTTTCTTTCAGTTATGGTCTTTTTTTAGATCTACTAACCATTTCAATGGAATGTTGTTCTCTTTACACTCTATTTATTTCAAATTAAGAGCCTTTCAGGGTAGGACAGTGTCATCAATCCTTGTATTGTGCCGCTTGTCAAATTGACTAATAAATGGTACAACCTTATTTCTGACTCTGGTTTCTTTACAGTAATTTATCAAGCAAAAATACCAAATACTTGCTGGTTCCAGCTTCTTTAAGGTGACGATTATCTGATTTTGTCCGTTATACATCAGAGATTCAAAATATATTGCGTATGTTTGGGTTTTGTACTGTAGGAGAAAACGAGTAGTTTGAAGACATAACAATGGGTTCCTGTTATTGGTATTTTTCACTATTTGCTGACATTTCACAGACTAACCAATCATAAATAAACAGATTGATAGTGAAAATAATCTGTAGTTGCAGCCCTACATTCAGCATGTTAGCATTAAGCATAGGTGAGTCAACATATCTGGCGTTTCAGATGGTACCACAGACCATTATCATGCCGATGGGACGTTCACCAACAGAAGATGTCATAACTCATCTTTTGTTCTCTCTGAAGCAGTGTAGTATTAGTCCTCACTAGCACCACTGCTAAAAAGTCACTTAAGTAACACTCATCCATTAAGGAAGAAACACAATGACAGAAAACCAGTCATTAGGACTTTCTACTATCACTATCTCCACTGCGAGACCCTCCACTACACCTCATGGAAACATGTAGCCTACGGTAAAAGCCACTAGATGGTGCTGTTGTACTTGAAGGTGAAGACACCCAAGAGCGCTTCAATTTCTTAATTGACCATAATTATAAAATTTGTTAGTTTACACACTTGAGACTGAAACCCTGAAACTTAATGTGTCTCGTTATAGACAGCAAACAAAGTGCCAATTTTCTGATTTTCTCACTTTAAAAGCTCCTTATACATACAAAAATACAATTTCCTCTCTAATGACAGCACAACAACATATACTTGCACTTAAAGACATACAATGACACCTATAAACCTCATTGTTTTGTTTGTCATCAGTGGCTCAAGTTTTGAGTTATCTACAACCACAGTTTCTACTCTGCTTGCCCAGAGAGTGTACATGTCCTCTGATTCAACTACATCCACATCTGATGATCTTGTTAACACTGGAAACGCTTTCACTATATGACCAGTGATTCAATTTCAGCCTCTCATTCCATTTGATTTGCCTCAGGTCTGTATAGGTATGGGGTGTGTGTATGGCTTGGCAGTGCAACACCTTGTGTCTCTAACCCACAAACTTATGGTATCCACTGAGAACAGAGTTCTGGGCTGGAGGCAACCGCAGAATAACTCGGCTTCTGATTTGGCACTTAGGTGTTCAAATCTAATAATCTCTCAGTAAAAGCAGAAAAGGCTCTCTGACAGAACAGAGGACAATACAGCCAGTCTTTCCGATGGTTTCAACAGTTTCCCATCAATCCTCAGCTGCAGACAGTCACCGACACTGGTTGTTTTGTTGTATTAATCCTTGGCTGCTAGTGTCACACTTGACCCACCTGTAGTATGCATGACCTGTAACCATAACGGATAAGAAAAGTGTTCTCTCTGTTTAACTGATTGCCATTTCAGAGACTAAACAATTAATCGGTTAATAAAAAGAAAAAATGGTATGTAATTAATGGCAAAATAATTAGTAGTTACCTGTTGATCTGGATGAGGAGATCGCGGCGTTCTAATGCAGGGTAATCTCAAGGTTTATGGTGGCTATATGGGTCATTACATTAGCAGTACACAGTCCCTATGAATATAACCAGTCAGTATAAGCTCAGTTATACACCTACAGGCAAGACATTTTTTATTCTGAGCAGTTGTGGAAGAAGTATTAAGATATTTTACTTCTTTACAAGTTACCACCTGCATTCAAAACCTTTCTTAAGTAAATATAAATATAAAATTTAAAGTATTCTTGATGCAGAATGACCATTTTCAGGGTTGCATTATTCTATAGATACTGCGGGATTATTATGACAGATGAAGCAGAGCTATTGTTGGCTAGTTCAGTATGTAACAATGCATCATATTTTATAAGATGATCATATTTTTCTATGTAAAATTGAATCTGTAAAATACAAGTACAATATTTCCCGCTGAAATGCAGGGGAGCTGAAGTGTAACGTAGCATAAACTAAAGGAGGAAAGATGTGTAAGGAGCTCATTTGAACACATTGTTATTGTTCTGCTGAAGAGACTAAATGAACAAGAAAGTCTACAGCACTTTTCAACACACAGACGCCCCTCTCCCTCTTTCACCACCCCTGTATTTACATACTCTTAAAACACTGTCACACAGCCTGACTAACTGACAGAAGTTATCATTACACAAAGCGCTCGATTCCATAATTTATAGAGATCCCCGTCCCAGTCATGTGGAATTCTCCCAAAATAAATTCAAGTAAACACTTACGCGACAAAGAGGCACTCACAGTGGCCTGGTATGCATAAACAGTATGAACAGTGTGACAGTGTAATCCCAACCCCACACCCCCCCTACCCAATACACACACACACACACACACACATATCCAACAACCCAGCCCAGCTCTGACTTCAGGCCGGGGTTGGAAATGAGCCTAAACCCCCACTTCACCCCCAGTGCCAATCCCCGACACCCCCCATCCACCCACCCCACACCTGACTCCTGGCAAAACAAGACAGACTCCAATCCATCTTCCATCGCAATAACACACACCCCAAACCATGTTGTTATGAAGAGTGTTCAGCAAGTTCATCTCCGGGGATGTTTTTGTTTTTTTCCCCAGGACGTCTTATTGTTTTAGCAACACAAGATGCTGTAAATCAATCAGCTCTTTGCTTCACTCTGGCCTTTGTTTAAAAGCGAGATATGAGCTGTTTCCACGATGCATTGTTGAAAGTAAACAGCCGATACAAAGGATGCAACAAAAGACATGATGAGGGACATATTTTACTCACCTTTTTGTTAGCAGAAAAATTCTGACATACCTCCACAGGGAGACAATCATCCATATTACTGATACAAAACAAAGAATTGTCAAAAGGTCTTCTATTTAGCACACTTTAGTGTGTCTCTGTAATTATAACAGCTATGATATTTTGTTTTTTTATTCCTTTATCCTGGTTCTGTAACAAACTAGAGACAGTAATTCACTCACATTTTCATTTTTTTTCAGTAGCCAGAATCCAGGCTGGATGTTGACTAATAAGGGGAACTAAAGGCCAATACTTATATTGATATTCAATTTTCTGTTTGTATTTGTGTTTGGACTCTTCTCTACCTTGAGGATTGTAACCAAACGGGGCTGGTTGAGTTTAAAACGCCTGGGATGGTTGCTATTCGATTTCAAAGGGAATGTTTAGAAACCTGATCCGACCCTCCAGCAAGCATACCTTCTACACCCACGTCTCCCTTGCCCCTCATTCTAAATCACTCCACTGGAGCAGTGTAAACAAACTTCAGTTTGCTCTCTGATATTGAGAGGTTAAGACAAGCGGCAATCCTCCGCTATGACAACATGGCCTCAGACAGACGATGTCATCTGTCTTACCTCACTCTCCATCCATCACTACGCCGGAGTCGACATGTCTGACAGTCCCACTCTCGCTTTTCTCACTGGCACAGGCCTCCACATCTGTCACATTTTCCTCCAAGCTTACTTTTATTACACCAGATGAACTCCGCCTCCTTCCCTCTGAATGCACGGACACCTGAAGGGCAAGCAGGCAGGGAGAAACCTATTGATTAGTCACGGTATCTGATGTCATCCTGGCTCCATAAACACTTTTTCAATCACCACTCAGCTACCTGTAAAATGTGTCAGAGCCATATTGTACAAAAAGAATTAACCTAACTTTAGCATATAAAATGACAAAGTAGAAACAAAAAATAAACATTTCAATTGACTACATTTCTTGAGAGATTTGAATTATTGAGCTGGCAACTTGATGCAGAAAAGATAAAACAGATTGATAATTTATAGTGACTCTGGACTTAACCGAAAAGGCTGGAGCTTCAGTCAGCGCTTGTCTGCTTTTCTCAGCTCCAACAGGAGGATATTTGAAAGAGTCGGCTACTTTAAAGCTAATAAAAAAAAGAGCTCTAGCCTTGTGGGGATCATGAGCAGGGAATGATTTAGAGGAAATGTTATAATTTACAAGCAAACCCAAGATATTTTATTCCAGTATAAATCCATGCATAACTAACTGAAGGAATTCTAAAACAAATGAGCTTTTGCAGGCAACAACTACAGTGATTTTACAATAAGACTAATATTTTCACTTCCCCTAGTTGATAACTACAACTGATTTATTGCAATTTATGGAGACTCAGATAAATCATATTAATAATGTGTGTGATACAAACACTGTGATCTCAGTGTTTGTCAGACAGAGAAATGTGGTACTGATAATGCAGATGCCGGCTGGAAGTTTAAGAAAGGATGAGTTATGTCCCATGTTTGTGTATGAGCCAGCATGGTTTACATTCATTAGTATTGACCACACTAGCAGCATGGATCTAGGGATGAGCATATTGGCCAGTCCACAACTTTGGTCATGACTGAAATATTGACAAATATTGGATGGACCACAGTGACGATACACGACCAAATAACTGAAAGACTGTACCTGAAAGTAAAGTAGAGCCTCTGCTGAACTTTGTGTTTAGTGCCAATATGCAACTGACAGCATGCTAACATGCTAAACTAAGATGGTGGACATGGTAAAGATTATACCTGATAAACATCAGCAAATTACCATGTTGGCATTAGCATTTTGCACAAAACACCACTGTACAGCATCACACAGCCACTGGCTTGGCTGCAGACTCACTAACGATTATTCAGATATTATGCTGTGACTCAGAGTTGGTGTCAAATAACAACACTAATGATCAAGTAATAACAACATGGCAAAGCACTTTTACGAAAGAGCAAAGAGAGCAGAAGATACCAAAATAAAAAGTAAGAAAGAAGGCAGTACAACAAAGAGACTGAGGAGTTATTGTACAAAAGCAGTTTTTGACACGAAAACCTGCTTCTCTCCCAGCGAGCAGTTTCTTTTAACACCCACAGGGCAGGAACAAGGAGGAATCTCCCTCTGCTGT